TTTTTGATGTACTTAAGAGCCGTGAAGTGGGTTCTGACAAATGGCAACCCAGTATAGGGTTTCCAAGGAGCAGCTGGTGATCTTTAATAGCTGACCTTGCAGTTCAAACAACTTTGCTTTCCAGTGCATTAAGACACACTGTCAAACCAGGACTCACACACACACATTTATATATATGTATCTTACATCAGTATAATTTTTTAATAGCATATTTGAGACAATTACCTGCCAATATTTATGGTTTATGTTTATTTCTCCATTCTTGTCTGTCTCTCTGTACCCATGTTAATAATTACAGCTATTCAACATAGTTCAAAAGATTAAAAGATAATGTAGTTTTGGGAAAAGGGTGGATAAATTAAGTCTAAAATACTGTATTCACTATGGTGGTGGTGGTGTGCCATGGGGCTGATTCTGACTTATAGTGACTCTGCATAGACTAAGGTGCCTGTAAATATTTATGGAAGCAGAAAGTCTCATCTTTCTCTCATTGAACAGCTGGCAGTTTGGAATTACTGACCCTGAGGTTAGCAGCCTGACTCTTAGCCAGTATACTACCAGAGATTCGGGTATTCACCCTACTCATGGTCTCTTCCTATAGGATCACTATGAGTTAGAATTGACTGCATTACAGTGGTTTCTGTGTACTTTTTAAGGTCAGACTAAGAAGTAGTACACATTATGTATGGGTGTTTGTCACTTTCTATATTGTGCACATTTAAGTATGTTTTCATTTAACAAACAGTTTCTTTAAGATATGATTTTTGCCCTTATTTTGGTACCAAGTTTCTTACCTTTTGCCTGAATAGCATGCACTCATCCTTTCTATGCCTCCTATTTGATCCCATGAATAACTTACATTGATAACTTTTTTAAAAAATGTAAGTGAACATGGAAAATATAATGATTGGCTATGAGGAGGACAATAGTTTATGGGTGGAATAGTTTTGCTCTCGTATTTTATTGGAATAAACCCACAGTGAACCAATCATTTGAAAAGTGCATCATATAAAATGTGAAAATTTATCAGGCTGCTTATGAAACTTAGTATTGGTTCATGTCCATTTTGTCTTATATTAGATAGGCTATAAAAGCTACACATTTTCATAGTATAAAATATATTACTTATAAACCAATAAAACACTATAATTTATAGGAATCTAATATTTATATGAATTAGTAACAAGGTAGGCTAATTATGTGCTAAAGCATATAATACCAAAATTATTAACTATTTTTGTGATAATTTATTTGCAATTCATGCATGCCTTCTTAAGATTCATTTTTTCTTAATATCATTTTTCCTGCTCATAACTAAAAGTAACTTTATCTAATATTTTCAACTAATTTATAAATTGCTTTTAGTGTGTCTGGCTCCCTGCTAATATTATAGTGCAATTATCTTAACAACTGTTTCAAAGTACAACATATTTATTATCAAACTTATATGAGAATTAAGCCTAGAGAAATGAATTATTTATAAATTAGTATTTCATAAATTGTGTTAAAAATAATATTTTCCTTTAAAGATAGAAGTTTTACATATCTTAAAATATCCATTTTTTTCCTCTAAAACTTTTTACTATTAAAGCATTTAGATCATATATTTTTCTCAGAACTATTGTTTTGCATCTTAAATTGTAAACAAGAAATAAATTACATTAAATTAAAACTCACTAAATATCTTGTATAGATGTTGAAAAGATTCACCAGATTTTGTTGTAATTGCTGGGGAAAGTACTGTTGAATTTTTATCAGGTGGACAATGTCGAATTTGATTTTCAAGTTTTGAAATTTTTTTCCTAAAAAGAATTTTGTCTCTTTTAATATTGATTTTAGCAAATACAGACGTTCATAACAATGACAACAAGAAAGGCACAGAAACAGATGATAGTTATTTTATCTGTGCAGCTTAGTACCCAAAGGCTTGAGGTCCAATATATCCCAGAGGGAAATGCATTCACTGTTATTGGAATTAACTTCTTAAAATCTCTTCACAGTTGTAATATATGAATCATTGGCACTAGCAGTTGTGCGAGATGAATCTTGGCACTCTTCCACGGTGTGGAAATTGAGTATGGCTACAGACTTATTTTTAGCAATGAGCAAGTTCAAGCACTCTAACATAATCACAACTCTCCATACTTGAGAGGACACTTAACGAACACATGTATCGAATAATTCATTATGTATTTATGGGGAAGACAAATGCCTTTCACATTTTCATGTACTGGTAATCTCAGTCACAGTACAGATTTTAAACGATTACACTGTACTTTCTTGCCATCAAAAAATCATATTTTCTGCTCTCGATCTTGACTGGCTAGTACAGGATCTTAGGAAACTATGAATAACGAATAAATTCAGAAAAGTCTTCTGTATATAGGCAATGGCATTTTTATAAAGTAATTTCACAACAACAACAAATTTCACCAACTAAGCATCATTTAAAGTACATTGAAGAATAGGTAATCTGCTTACAAAGACAACAGGAATTTAGTAGTTGTTGTTGTTATGTGCCGTCGAGTCGGTTCCGACCCATAGCGACCCTGTACAGGGTTTCCGAGGCTGTAAATCTTAACGGGTGCAGGAAGCCTCATCTTTCTCCCGCAGAGCAGCTGGTAGTTTCAAACTGCTGACCTTGAGGCTCGCAGCCCGATTCGGAACCACTACGCTACCAGAGCTCCATAGGAATTTAGTAAGTATGCAAAAATAAATGGACTGCTATTAATGCACCAAACTGCAAAGCCGTTTAAACTGCAAGGTCGGCGGTTCAAGCTCATCAGCTGCTCCTTGGAAACCCTATACAGGGTCGTTATGGATCGGAACTGACTCGATGGCACTTCACAACAACAATGCATACAAATACTGTGAGATTGATTATATTGCCATTATACAGAAAAATTGTGATGTTAAAATAAACTTAGATGAAGAAAAATATTATAGGGTAAAAGAATAAATTGAAATATATTGATATTGAAATAAAAACATATGAGAAGATCTTTCTGTGGCGCTGTGGGTTAATGCGCCAGACTGTAAAGCCTTTTGAATGGCAAGATCGGCAGTTCACACTCACCAGCTGCTCCTCGGAAACCCTATACAGGGGCTCTATGAGTTGGAACCGACTCTATGGCACTTAACAACAACAACAACAACAACAACAACAGCCGAAAATGTATTTATGTTATACTTAGCATGTATTTTTGGATGAAATTTTAACTAAATTTTAAAAGATTTGGTGCATTAGACCTAAATCAGATTTGTTGGATAGCATCAAAAACATCATGCAGCTTACCTGAGACTTACAGATGATATAACCTTGTTTGCTGAAAGTAAAGAAGACTTAAAACACATTCTAATGAAGATGAAAGTCTAC